TGGGTGTTAGAAAAGCCACGTTCAAGCTAGGAGCAGAAATTGGATTCTAGAAATTCATTTAGGTTGATGATAAAAATTAAGGCTTAATGTTCAAAACACATGAAAATCCCAAGGCAGTCTGTGTCCTTCCCACTGGCCTGGGCCATGCAGGATTGGCCAAGGTGAGGGAGGCCTTTCGTCCATTGCGGATGCCCTTCTGACAGCTGAAATGGGATTGGCACAGTCAGCCCTGGGAGAGGGGCTTGATCTAAATAAAACTGTACACAGGGACCCCTATGCTTTGACAAAAGGGACTAATAACGATCACCAACTCCTTTACATTTCTAAAAAGATTAAAAAGACAAGAAAATGGTGTGAAATACCCAAGCTTAAACAGTGTGGTGTGCTATACAATAAGCATCAGGTAAAACAAGAACAGCTGTGAGACCAAATATAAATCTGCTGCATTTGCTAAAAGAATGCACTAAAAGCAGATGCTGGGATGAAAACTCAGGGCTTAGCAGCGAGTCTTCCACCTCACCAAAGGCCACAGACTCAGTGACTTAGTTTCCTTCCAGGGCTTAGTGAGATGACATCCCTGTGGACCAATACCTCTGGGATCTCTGTAGACTGAAGCCTTCTTATCCTCATGTCGTACATAGTCATGCACCACAAAATGATGGTTTGGTCAACAAAGGACTACATATATAGTGGTGGTCCCATAAGATTATAATGCTGTATTTTTACTGTACCTTTTATATGTCTAAATATATTATTATTTAGATGCACAAATACTTACCATTGTGTTCCAGTTGCCTACAGTATGCAATAAAGTAACATGTATAAGTTTGCAGCCTAGGAACAATAAATAGGCAGCACCATATAGACTAGGCATAGTCTATACCATCTAGGTTTGTGTAAGTACATTCTTTGATGTTTGCACATTGACAAAATCGCCTACCACACATTTCTCAGAACACAACCCCACTGTTAAGCAATGCATGACTGTACTTATTTAAAAAATACTTACATAGTACTTGCTATATTCTAGGTCCTATCCTAAGCGCTTTACAGATAGTAACTTATTTAATCAACAAGACAAATTTAGGAGGTAGGTGCTAGTACAATTATTGTCATTTCACAGTTGCAGAAGCGGAAGAGAAGTAATTTGCCCAAGGTCACAACACTAGTATGTGGACTTGAACTCAGACTAGCTCTACCTACTCATCCTTATCCAGCGTGGTGTGTAAAGAGGATTTGAGAGGCAGGGGTGCAGAAATATGGTCGGTGACATTATCTTGGTTTTTACATACTTCTGAAGTACCACCAGAGACTGAAAAAGTTTCTAAACAAAATATCTGCATCTTGATGGTCTCTAGTATGAAAATAATGAAATTAAACACTCAATTAAATAAACTTCATAGTTTTGGAGTCTTAAGTTTCTAAGTAGTCTTTGTTAAGAAAAGGTATGTGTGTATTCACACACATACACATTCAAATATATGCAAACATACATATATAATTTATAGTAATGTATAAATAATAAAACAAAAACAAACTGTGAATAATTTCTTCAACTGCAAAATTTGCTCATAAGCAGAGAAAGAGAAACAAAACCCAAGATCCCATGGAATAGCTTATAACTCTTTCTTTTCTTGGACTGGCTGAACTAACCGTGGTTTACAAAGCCCTCAAGAGTGGGATGACAGCCCTGACCATGAGGGAAAGAGGGAACGTGGTCAGGTCCGTAAAGCCCTGTGACCACTGTAAGCCTTTCTTGAAGACTGTAGGCTAGCAAGGTGGAATTACGTTAAAAGTCTAAAGGTATCCTAGCAGGAAAGATGACTTTTAAAAATATGATCTAATTTACAACCTAAAGGATCATTAGTTCAATATTGCTTTGCCTTTCTATTTTACATTCATTATATATTATAGAATCAGCAGCTGGCAGCTCCTTTTAACCATTCAGAGTTCATACAAATTCAAATTCATTGTTGGCTAGAAAAGTGTATTCCTTCCAGACAAGATGGCAAAGTTACTTTTGATTTCACTGGGGCCTCAGCTTGAAGAATTAAGATCAGAAATTTCCAGGCAGCCTGGTGGAAATTCTTGCGTGTTTAGAGATAGGCCGTTTGACCACCTGTGACTACCAGTCACAGGTAGGAAAAGGGTGTCCACTATACAAATGAGCAGACACACCCTGTGTCTGTGGAGTGCCTGCTGTTTGTCTGCACTGGCAGACACAACCACGCCCCGTAAAGACAGGTTCTGCCTTCGTGGAACTTGAGGCCTAGTCGGGAAGACGGACAGTCAAAGGATGGAGGTAGTGAGAGCATAATTAAAAACTGAGACCAAGGATCTAAAGAAAACAGGTCTTTGAGAGCGTGTAAATGAAGAAGTGGCCCAGAGTGGAGGCTGTGGGTGAGGGCAGCCTGGGATGGGTGTTCTAAGAAGCAAAGGAGGAACATTCCATACAGAAAAAAATGAATAAATAAAATAAAATAAAGAAGCATGGTATGTTAAAAGTTCTGTGATTGAAGAGTACGGTGCACTCAAGATGTGAACGACAACCCATATGAATGGAGCTCTGGGAAGGCAGGGCAGGGGCGGGTGGGGGGTCAGGGAGCTAGAATTGAGGGACAATTAGTCTAAAAACTTAGGCAAGCACAAAGCATGTGGGGTCATAGACTCCATTAAGCGCGGGAGTTTTATCATCAGACCAATGAGAAGACGCAATTGTGGAGTACTGTGGTTGAATGCGTTGCCAAGGAGCGAGGCTTTACACTGACATGAAAAGCAATGGTAGCTAGTTGTTCAATTTAAATAGCCTTTGAAAATCATGTAAAACACGAACATGCCTGAGCATATGGGTGGCTCTGGATCGTGGTAAGGCACGTCACAAACACAACTAGACCAAGGCAAATTTTCTGTAGCTTTCCCATTAATGATCATACATCTCCCCACACCCTTCAACCATCACCTTCTTAAATTTACAGCCAAGGTAATGATTTAACACATTGGACAGCAAGCAATTGGTTGATCTATTGATTTCCTTAGGAAGCAAAAGGAGACAAGGACATCTGTGGGGATGCTATCCAAACTACAAATAGCACAACGTTAGAATGAGGTTTTGCACCCTATTAGTAATTTGTCGATGTAAAGAGAGTGGACAAGGTAACATCTCTAGATCTTGGTCACTTGTCATTTGTGTTTTGTAAAACAGTATTAAGCAAGAAGGTCTCAGTTTTCGTGGAAACTCCACTCACTCCTTGGTAGGGATGGTGAAGGTGTACCTTTTTAAAAAAATCAATACAAAAGAGACATATTAACATAAAGACTTTTCCAATAAGGGCTCAGAATTTCAGTGCAGTAACAAATCATGTAGTGTTAACCCTCTTTTGTACGTATGGGAAATAAAAAATAAGCACATCTCACTCAAGATTACAAATCCCTGTGATCTTCATGTCTTCATATTTAGCTTCCATTTTGATTAAAAGTCTTTCAAGTCTGATTAAAGGTCTACCCTGAACTTTCACATAGGAGACTTCCAGGGCAAGCATATGCATGTATTCACCCAATGGCATGCAATCAATTAATAGATGCACAAATATCCAATAAGTGTGCAGAGTCATTCTGTCTTCCTTTTTATCAGAATGCCCTGCAGATTGCTTTGTTTTCTTTCCTAGCCATAGTCTTTCTTGACATCGCTTTAAGTGTTCAGACGCCCTCTGCGGTCATTTTATTTGTAATAGTGCCTTGTGTGTTGTGTCTCCTAGCTCTACATACAAACTACCACGCTTACAATCTCCATGAACCTAAGTGCGTCAGTGGCGCTGGGGATGCTATACATGCCGAAAGTGTACATCATCATTTTTCACCCTGAACTCAATGTCCAGAAACGGAAGCGAAGCTTCAAGGCGGTAGTCACAGCAGCCACCATGTCATCGCGGCTGTCACACAAACCCAGTGACAGACCCAACGGTGAGGCAAAGACAGAACTCTGTGAAAACGTAGACCCAAACAGTAAGTAACTCTCCTTTCCTTCCGTCTTCCCCTTCTGCATCAGGAAGCTCTAGAAAATGTGGTGTGTGCTTGCCTCTTTTTGGGAAAATATCGTGACCGTTCTGTTCTTGGGGACTGGGTTGCTCTGGCGAATGCTAACTTCTGCTTTTTTGAGTTTGACTCATTCCTGCCACCACTTTCATTTCGCTCCCTGTTAGAAAGAAGCTTTCAGAGGCTTTGCTTCAGAAGTGTGAGGCCTCTCCCTTCCCTTGCTTCTTGTCCTTTGGTACTGAACCCTCCAATTGACATAAACACACTGATCAGGCTGTGAGCCACCTTTCTTGCAGCCTTCCTGTTAGGGAAATAACTTCCTGTTAGGAAAAGTTCCATACCTAATGAGCTGTATCAGTAGGAATAAAATCAGAATATTTAAGAATTTCGGAAGCATAACTTCTTTCCACTGGCATATGAATATGGAGAAAGTTATTATATATATATATATTTTTACTAAGTAAGTCTTCTGGAAACAAAGTCACATAAAATATTGGATAAAGTTGTCAAACTTTCATCCAAGTGCATAGGTCCAGACACCACCCTGCTAATACCTTCACCACGTGGGAAAAAGATCTACCACA